CCGGTCTCAATGAGGCTTCGGCGACCATGATCAAAACTGGCAATCAATTTGCCATCACTGTCAACCTGAAGCAGCCAGTGATCAATCCTGACCAGCATGAGCACACCACCATCCACCGAAACAAACTCCATTCCCCAAAGGCCATCACCAATTTCAAGCATCCCCCTGATTTCTGCAACTGGTAATTCGACTCGGTATTTGTAGTCCCAGACCTGGTCACATAGTTCTGCGACACCCATATATCAATAATTTTTGTGGCATGGTTCTGGCTATACATGCCGAGCGTATCATCCATCTCAAACAAAAAAGAGCTATTGGGATTGGGAACAATTGGAGCACGCATGTGCTGGAACGACTCTGCTATGGTGTCGAATACTATTACCAGTTCGCTTTCAATTGTAATTGGGAATGAGCTGTTTGCCGTATAATACACTGGATACCCATGCAAGCTATCTCCAATCCGGACAGCAGGGGTGACACTGAAGCATGTCGTCTCCATCTCCGGCCACCCAATGTACCTCGGTGGCTGGTCAGAGCCAAACGGAAAGACAAAGCAGCCAACTTGGTGACCTTTAGGCAAGTCAATGCAGCTAGACCGTTTCAGCAACAGCCGGTACTCGCCTGTAGGTCTGTGTGGGTACATCCCCAAGATGCTGAAGTTCGACAGTGGCCCAAGGATGGCATGCTCACGCGTGGCTGGATTGCAGACGGAGACGAAGGTGCGAGAGCCCGTCTCCAAGTCAACCTTGGAGAGGAGGAGGAGGCCGTCGCAGGAGGCCTCCAGAAGTCCCCGTCAAGCCGGGCGACGGAATGGAGCTGGGCGTCGGCGGCGGAGCGGTGGTCGAAGGCGAGGATATCACGGCAGTGGTCGCTGGTGAAAACGGGGAGGTTGGGCTGGCGGGCGCGTGGTGGGCGAGGAGGAAGCGGCGGGTGGAGGTGGCGGAGCGCCAGGCACGGCGGACGGCGCGGCAGCGGAGGAGGGATTTGGGGGGCAGGAGGACGAGGATCTCCCAGGTGACGATCTCATCTGGGAGGCCGGGGAGAAGAGGCGTCGCCATGGTCGCCGCCAGCTGCTCCGGCCGGGAGGAATGAGACGACGAGTTGGGGAATGGGCTCAACCCTAGAAAATTTTGCGGCGAAGAGACTCTGTCTGCGGTCTGCTCCGTCTGCGGTCTAACCTTACAATGGATTCCTCTTAAGAGAAAAAAAAACTCATAAAAAGAGGGAAAAAAAGGAAAATATTTCACTAACAAAAAAAATGAAACAGAATAATGCAAGTTCAAAAGTTCATTCCAAAAAGATCAAATCTATTATAAAAGTTCATCGGATGTACAAAACATCTCCAACAATGATAGAGAAACACCAGTGTGCCTAAAAATGATTGTCTAGGACATAATTAGTCTAACACAGTGCTCCAATAGATGATGCATCTGTAAATGACGATGTAGATTTATTTGGGGAGCACAAAATTATTCCCCGCGCTGCATATGTGCAGCAATGCTACCTGCTGCTGCAAAACGAATATGTAGCCATGCAGACGACAACTGACACGTGAAAGTTTCGCCGCCACCTATCGGCAATTTCAATTGGACAAAAAAAATGAAAACGAATACGTAGCCACACGGAAAAATGCTTGATAGAAAAATGAAACATACGAGAACATAAGACTAATGAGGAGGGGATATGACACCAGGAAAAGATCATAGCCTAATTATATCAAATGTTCAATTATTATATAGATATTAGAATATCGTTGGCATTAAAACTATACAATCTCCTACAAATCAGACACACCAGGGTGTGCCATAAACTTCAAAGATTTGTGCTAGTAGTGATCTTAGCACTAGAGTGGATCCATGGAGTCGGTGTTCCCCACACAAAAAATACTAATTTTAACCTACATTGCACGTGGTCATTAATCGAATAAAAATAACTACAGACTTATTCAACCGCTGGCTTAACAAGTGACGTCTGGAATAGAAATACCAAGCCAGCGACCATGGGCCTTGGCCCATTCTAACTGTACCGCACCTCCTTATATATTTATCTCTCCCAAACCCTCTACTCTCGTCCGATGGTGTCGACTCACTCCCTTCTCACGTATTCCTCTCCATCCAGGTCCAACAGGACCGCCACCGTCGCAAATCCTAACACCCATGGCCATCGTCTCCCACCTATATAATGTACCGAATTTGCATGCTGATGCGCCCTAGGGTTCCCATGGCCTCAATGGCCGACACCTTCCTGTGTGACACTTACTTTGCTAGCTTTGCACAACTTGTGCGGTGGCACCGCCACAATGGGCCTTGGTGACCTGCCGCTGCATGGAGATGCCGCCCGCATCATGATTTTCCTTCTCATTGTCGTCAGCACCCTAGCTCCAATTCCCTCTCGGCTAGGCCAAGGAGGTAAGACCCCCCACTATCCCCTATTTTTCCCACTCATATGCGCTACACATTTCGAAGGAATGTCATGCTTATTTCATGGTGTGATCCTTCATGTAATCCTATCCATGTCATTGTATTAATCTTCTCCTCACGACCCAAATATCCTATATGTTAATATCTGAAAACATTAGAATTGAAAGCACACCATTAATGTTTTCAACACCTGTAATCATATTGGATCACATGCTTTTCAGTAAGCGCACTCCACATGTTATACAAGGTAACTTCAACTGAATTTCATCGTCAATTTCGTGCTCAATTTCTAGTTACTCATGAACCTACCTTTCTTGTGAGGATCCAAAAGTTAGGTTTCCAGCATGCTCAACCCATCGTGGTCTTCCCAATAAAACTCTCATCAGGATGGCTCTAATATCCATCTATATTCACTCAAAATTTATAATATCAGAGAACATCTACCTGCATGGCTATTCACTCAAAAGTAGGCGAGTAGGCAGATGTTATCTAACATTATGAATGCTTGGAGTGGATAGGAATGGACATGTGAAGCGACACGATGGGATTTTTGTACGGAAGATCATATGGGCTGAGCATGATCCAAACCTAGCTAACACCGAGAATATTCTCCAATACGGTAAAGAGAAGGTGACTAAAACAAAGTAGGCCTTTGCGATCTCGGTTATTGATATTAATGTTTTGCCCATAGAATAGATAAAGTACCTGGAAGCATGTGTATAGAATGTTACCTAGCAGTATGTACACGGAATAGCAAGTATATTCTATATAGGTGTGTAGCTAACCACAAGTTTGAATGGTTAACCATCAAATAGATTTATAGCATCTCGCCGCCAAATAATCGAGTGCGTCAACAATATTAAGTTGAATGAGGATTAACTATTCTGAAAATCTTCTACAGCGAGCGATATATCATGAATGAGAAATGTTTCATACTAAATTGCAAGTTATGTCCACACCTATAAGGTGCAGGAACTTATAATTTATGGTATTCAACCTTCCCCATATTTGAAAACAGAGAGCAAGTATGCATCTGAGGGGGTGTTTGGTTGCAG